CAGGCAATTAATGGCTGCGGACACCAACTGCGGACAGTGTGCATTTCCATTATCAGAAGCAGAACCTCTGCTGTTTGTGTTCCAAGAATTTTATTTGTGAGTTGAAGGGTGAAATGAAGTGTAAGAAAGTGAAGTGGGGGGGGGGGGGGGAAGCTGTAGACTTACTACATGGTACTGAAATTTGTAAGCAAACCTTTGAGCAGAAATAATAATATAATAATAAACTTTATATATATACCACTCTATCTCCCCGAGGGGGACTCAGGACGATTTCCAAGTAACATCACCAAAACATACAAAGTAAACAGCATAACATAAAATTAACAAAACAACATAAACATAAAAATATCACAATAACTCATGTATATTAAAAATAATCCTGCCTATTCAGAGCAATTAAAAAGCCGGGCCAAGGCTAGTGCAAACTCAAAATATGAGGAGACTGGGAATTAAGTACAGTGCTATAACAGGCTAATGGTAATAGCAGGTACGGGTCTGTGGCTGCTAATTTCCAGGGCCTATTAGAGCAGTGTTTCTCAACCTGTGGGTCGGGACCTCTGGAGGGGTCGCAAGGGGGTATCAGAGGGGTCGCCAAAGACCATCGGAAAACACAGTATTTTCTCTTGGTCATGGGGGATCTGTGTGGGAAGTTTGGCTCAATTCTATCATTGGTGGGATTCAAGGGGCTTTTTGATCGTAGGTGAACTATAAATCCCAGAAACGATAACTCTCAAATATCCATTTTTATTTATTTATTTATTTATTTATTTATTTATTTACTTTGCTTATATACCGCTGTTCTCAGCCCGGGGGCGACTCACAGCGGTGTACAACATAGAAAGAACAAGATTCAAAATTCAAGACATAATATAAAATAATCCACAATCAGCATTAACAAAAAACATCATCATCAAAAAACATCATCAAAAAACATCATCATTACTACGAAAGCCATTCCGCGTCGTCTCATCGTCCAAACCACAATCCAGTATCATTTTCCGTTGTTCCATTCCTATAGTCATTACCAATCATTGTACTTCTTGTTTGAACGCCTTCTTGAACAACCAAGTCTTTAATTTCCTGCGAAATATCATCAGGGAAGGAGCCAGTCTGATGTCCACGGGAAGGTCTAATTTCCCCAAACTCCACCAGTGTTCACATTTGGGCATATTGAGTATTAGTGCCAAGTTTGGTCCAGATCCATCATTATTTGAATCCACAGTACTCTCTGGATGTAGGTGAACTACAACTCCCAAAACTCAAGATCAATATCCATCAAACCTTCCAATATTTTCTGTTGGATATGGGAGTTCTGTGTGCCAAGTTTGGTTCAATTCCATCGTTGGTGGTGTTCAGAATGCTCTTTGATTGTAGGTGAACTATAAATCCCAGCAACTACAACTCCCAAATGTCAAGGTCTATTTCCCTTAAACTCCATCTGTGTTCATATTTGGGCATATGGAATATTCGTGCCAAGTTTGGTCCAGATCCATCATTGTTTGAGTCCACAGTGCTCTCTGGATGTGGGTGAACTATAATTCCCAAACTCAAGGTCAATGTCCACCAAACCCTTCCAGTTTTTTCTGTTGGTCATGGGAGCCCTGTGTGCTAAGTTTGGCCCAATTCCATCATTGGTGGAGTTCAGAATGCTCTTTGATTGTAGGTAAACTATAAATCCCAGCAACGACAATTCCCAAATGACAAAATCAATTTTTTTTAGTGGAGGACATAAATTGGACTGTTAGGTGTCTTGTGTCCAAATTTGGTGTCAATTCCCCCAGTGGTTTTTGAGTTCTGATGGTAGCACGAACTAACGTTACATTTTTATTTATATAGATTTATATTCTGCCCTTCTCACCCCGAAGGGGACTCAGGGCGGAGCACAGCATATACATTAAATGAGATGTAATGTTTTGAGAGGAACACAGAAGAGGAAATGAGCTGCAGAGGAGTAAGAGAAAATGAGCTCTGATTTTGTAACAATAAATATAAGTTTATTCTATCAATAATTTACATTTTTATTTCTCTGCGGGGTCGTGTAGATAGGACCCAGTTTGTTGCTTTTCCCAGAGACATATAATGCTGTTAGGATAGCTTGGTGGTTGTATTCCTGGAACCACTTCTGTTATTGAAGGTGATGTGCTTTTTGTCGCTAGAGCTGATTCTGTAGAAAAATAACCTGACCAGAATAGTTCACACACTAGTATTCATAGGTAGACTACTTACAAGGTGCATTATGTGGGATATCCCTGAAAGACAGTGGCCCTTTCTATACAACCATATAATCCAAATTATCAAAGCAGACAACCCACATTATCTGGTTTTGAATGGGATTATATAAATCTATGCTGCTGTATAATTTAGGTCAAAGCAGATAATCTGGATTTTATATGGCAGTGTAGAAGAGGCCAGTGAAATATGCAGCAGCTAGATTGCTGACAAGGATAACATATCATAGCCACATACCATTAAGGGAATAGAACTGGCTTTCAATATGCTTTCAGTGCACGTTTGTATCTAGCTTGTGATGATATGCAAAGCCTTCAATTGCCTGGAATTGTGACATCTGAAGGCATGCCTTCTCCTGTATGCACCTGCCCAAACATTGAAACTCTCCTTTGCCTGCCACCAGCAGGAGCAATACCATACTAATTTTGAATATTTTTACCCTGCATTTAACTCTTTAAACTTATTTGGTTTAACAATGTTTTGTGTGTGTGTGTGTGTGCGTGTTGCTGCTATAATATCTTCCCCAGATTTTTTTTTCCTATAGGGAATGTTGTTGTTGTTCATTCGTTCAGTCGTTTCCAACTCTTTGTGACCTCATGGACCAGTCCACGCCAGAGCTCCCTGTCGACCATCACCACCCCCAGCTCCTTCAGAGTCAAGCCAGTCACTTCAAGGATACCATCCATCCATCTTGCCCTTGGTCAGCCCCTCTTCTTTTTTCCTTCCATTTTCCCCAGCATAACTGTCTACTCTAAGCTTTCCTGTCTTTTCATTAGGTGGCCCCTAATATCCTTCCCTCCAGTGAGGTTTCTCCCTCTATTTGCCAGTTATCAATCAGTCTGGTTGCCATAATCTTGGTTTTTTTATGCTTGGCTTCTCTAAGCTTTCCTGTCTCCTCATGATGTGGCCAAAGTACTTCATCTTTGCCTCTACTATCCTTCCCTTCAATGAGCAGTCGGGCTTTATTTCCTGAAGTATGGACTGGTTGGATCTTCTCGCTGTCCAGGGCACTCTCAGAACTTTCCTCCACAGTTCAAAAGCATCTATCTTCCTTCGCTCAGCCTTCCCTAGGGTCCAGCTCTCACATCTGTAGGTGACTACAGGGAATACCATTGCTTTAACTTTGCGGATCTTTGTTGCCAGTGTGATGTCTCTACTCTTCACTATTTTATCAAGATTGGTCATTGCTCTTCTCCCAAGAAGTAAGCGTCTTCTGATTTCCTGGTTGCAATCTGCATCTGCAGTAATCTTTACACCTAGAAAATACAAAGACTGTCATGGCCTCCACGTTTTCTCCCTCTTGTTGTTCATTCATTCAGTTGCTTTTGACTCTTCATGACCTCATGAACCAGCTCCCTGTCAGCCATCACCACCCCCAGCTCCTTCAAGGTCAAGCCAGTCATTTCAAGGCACTCTCAGCACTTTCCTCCAGCACCACAGTTCAAAAGCATCTATCTTCCTTCGCTCAGCCTTCCCTATGGTCCAGCTCTCACATCCGTAGGTGACTACGGGGAATACCATTGCTTTGATTATGCGGCTCTTCGTTGCCAGTCTCTACACTATTTTATCGAGACTGGACATTGCTCTCCTTCCAAGAAGTAAGCGTCTCCTGATTTCCTGGCTGCAGTCTGCATCTGCAGTAATCTTTGCACCTAGAAATACAAAGGCTGTCACTGCCTCCACGTTTTCTCCCTCTATTTGCCAGTTGTCAATCATTCTTGTTGGTTTTTTTAATGTTTATTTATTTATTATTTATTTAAAACACTTATATTCCGCCCTTCTCACCCCGAAGGGGACTCAGAGCGGAGCACAACATATACATGGCAAACATTCAATGCCTGAGTACAATACATAAACATTAAAAAACATTTATCTAAATATTAAAATCCACCATTTAAAATAACACAATTTAAAACCGTCCTAGCCATCTGCATCAAATCCAATTGGCCCTGTCATCTTTCCCATTGTCGCTTCATTGCCCTGTCCCGAAAGCTTGGTCCCACAGCCAAGTTTTTACCATCCTTCTAAAGGACAGGAGGGAGAGGGCCAACCTGATCTCAAAAGGAAGGGAGTTCCATAGCCGGGGAGCAATCACTGAGAAGGCCCTGTCTCTCATCCCCACCAATCGTGCCTGTGACAATGGTGGGACGGAAAGCAGGGCCTCCCTGGAGGATCTTAAATTCCGCGATGGTACATAGAGCAACCCAACTTTTGCGCTTTCTTCTTTCACCTTGATTAGAAGGTGAAAGCTCCTCCTTAATTTCGGCCATCAAAGTGGTGTCATCTGCATACCTAAGGTTGTTAATGTTTCTTCCAGCAATTTTAACCCCAGCCTTGCATTCAAGCCCTGCACATCGCATGATGTGTTCTTCATACAAGCTGAATAGGTTGGGTGAAAGGATACAACCCTGCCACACACTTTTCCCAATCATTTAAATAAAAATATAAGTTTCCTAACATCTGTCCACACATTGCTGTCACATGGGTACTTATTTAAGGCAAATATTGCATTGTGTTCCACAACTATTAAATGGCTAACTAAAAATGCCTGTTGATGCTTTATATCAGCTCCAGAAATTACATATACAAGCAGGGAAGAGAAATAAAAGTGGCCACACTGGCTTGACAAGGAAGCACCTTGCTCATCTCTTACATGAGACTTCTTCTGCAGGCTATATGTGTAGGTGGTAGGGAGTTCCTACTTGGGAAAAAGGCGTGCATCTTCTATTTCAAACAAAGCATCTTTTTGGAATGCTGTCCATTTTATCACAAAGGGACTGAAGAATGCGTAGAGAGTTTGGTATAATTAACACAAGTCAGTACTGCTCCGGTTCCTTCCCTTTTAAAGAGGCAAACTGTTGCCTTTGCTAGGAGTTACTGCTTTGGGAAAGCCAACTATGCGTACCGATGAACTAAGTGCCTGAAAACTATGCTGTGTGAAGAAAGCTCATACACAAAGTATTCCAAGCCTTGCTGTGTCACGGCTTAAGGTTTTTGGGCAACCTGAGGCTGGGGAGAGAAAAGCATTTGTTTGCTCATCCCAAAGTCTTTCAAGGATGGGCTCCCTCTTCCAGCACCTGCGAGTGCTGCTGTGGAAGAACTGGCTGAGTGTCAAAAGGCAACCCGTAAGTATAACAATTCAACTGAAATGAGAGAAACCCTTCTGTCTCTTGGGGGCTGGGATGAAATGGATAGTGCATGTGTCAAAGGTGGAAATAATATTTGCTAGGGGGAAGACAAAACTCGAAGTGGTGATATGTGTGACAAATGACCAGAGCTCGGTTCTTTTAAGTTAGAAGCTCTTATCTGACCTGCTAAAATTGCTGTTATTCTACTTAATTGGGATAATGACCTTTTGTTGTGCTGTTCAACTGTGATATTAGACAATCAATCACTCCCAGAAGTGGTTATAGCGAGTGTTATAACAGATAACACTTGCATGAGCAGTTGTATTGGACATTAAACTAAATTGAAAATCCAAAATGCATATTGATGATAGATTGTGCTAGTATCAAAGCTCCTTGACTTCTTCATCATGCGAGGATGGTTGAAAAATCATAATGGGACAGGGGCAGAGTGACATTGGCAGAGTCACAAAAGCATTCAGGTCTATATGCTTAGTTCTGGATGCTTCACAATGAGTGTTCACACAGCTTGGGAGTTCTCCTGGATTCATCGCTGAGCCTGGAATCCCAGGTTGCAGCGGTGGCCAGGGGAGTGTTCACGCAATTAAAACTTGTGTGCCAGCTGCGCCCGTACCTTGGGAAGTCAGACTTGGCCACGGTGGTCCACACTCTCGTTACATCTAGAATAGACTACTGCAATGCACTCTATGTGGGGTTGCCTTTGAAGACTGCTCGGAAGCTTCATATAGTCAAACGAGAGGCAGCCAGGTTAATAACTGGGGTGGCATACAGGGAGCATACAACTCCCATGTTACGCCAGCTCCACTGGCTGCCAGTTTGCTACTGGGCACAATTCAAAGTGCTGGCTGGCCTATAAAGCCCTAAACAGCCCCGGCCCAAATTACCTGTCCAAACGCATCTCCCTCTATGTACCAACGCGGAGATTAAGATCCTCCAGGGAGGCCTTGCTTTCCGTCCCACCATTGTCACAGGCACGATTGGTGGGAACGAGGGACAGGGCCTTCTCGGTGATTGCTCCCTGGCTATGGAACTCCCTTCCTTGTGAGATCAGGTTGGCCCCCTCCCTCCTGTCCTTTAGAAGGATGGTGAAAACTTGGCTGTGGGACCACAACTGATAAATTATATAAGAAGTTGTGGGCTTCCTGTCTCCTGAGCCTCAAATGACCAAGTAAGAAAGGGTGCTATACAAAGAATTTTGGATATAGAAGCACAAAAAGATATAGCCACCCTCAGTAAGACTGCTAACCTAAAATGGCTGAGTCAATATAAACGTACCTTTCAAACTGCTAACTACCTAAAAATGCAAATACCAAAACATCTCAGAGAGGTATTCACTCGAGCCAGATTTGATCAGCTCGAGACAATGGTTAGATACGGGAGATTTAACAGCATCCCTTATAATGAACGGAGTTGTATTTGCGGGGCACCTGAAATTGAGGATATAGCACACATATTATTTGATTGCAAATTGTATCAAAAGATGAGAGACTTCCACCTTGGTCTATATATCAAACAGACAATGTATTGGGATTCTCACATCAGAACAACATATTTTATGTGTGGCCAAGACCCAAAAATAACATATAAAACAGCTCTGTACTTAAGCAAAACAATACGTCTGAGAACCACATATGTAGGGCTGATTGGGGTAAATTGTAGGGGTGATAATGAAATATGATGTATATACTCAGCTTGATGAGTTTATCAGTTTTATCATGTCTTATCATATGTATTTACTGTATTATTATAAGTGTCTTATTTTAACTTACTACGTGGAGTGTGATCAGGTCTTATCAGGCCTTGTTGTTCTGTTTCTTATTGTGATATGGCCTAAGGGCTAATCAATACAATTACTACTTGGCTGTGGGACCAAGCTTTTGGGACAGGGCAATGAAGCGACAATGGGAAAGATGACAGGGCCAATTGGATTTGATGCGAATGGCTAGGACGATTTTAAATTGTGTTATTTTAAATGGTGGATTTTAATATTTAGATAAATGTTTTTTTAGTGTTTATGTATTGTACCCAGGCATTGAATGTTTGCCATGTATATGTTGTGTTCCGCTCTGTGTTCCCTTCGGGGTGAGAAGGGCGGAATATAAGTGTTTTGAATAAATAAATAAATAAATAAATAAATAAATAAATAAATAAATGTATAAAATTGCTTCCCCACCTCATTCCCAAAATGTTGGGAATGAGGTGACAGGGTCAAAACCCATAGAAAAAAGTAATACAATTTCTCCATTGTAACTATCAAGTTCCCTTGAAATATATCACATCAAATAACAGTGATGACTTGGATCTGGTCTAAACAAGCAAAAAAATTAGTTACCAAAAATGGTGAGACAGTACCATCACATCACAGAATAGGTGGGAACTACATTTATTGGTTTGTTTGTTTTTTCCAGTTTTCCAAAAAACCCATGGGGATTGGAGTTACAAGATGGGCATCTCACTTATTTATAGTCTGAAACAAAATAGCCGTTCTGTGTCATCGTCTTGGCTTCTAGGGACATTTCTTGTTTCATTTGCTCTAGTACTTGTTTGTTTGTCTTTTTGGCTTCCTTTGTATCTGAAGAACTCTCCACTAGTATTACATTTCAAATGAATTAATTCCCTTCCAATCAAATGTATTCACTGTCCTCATTACAATGCATTGTAATGAGAAATATGATGGCACGGACAATTCTTACTGTGGTATTCAGTGAGATACACTTGTGGCTCTTCTTTAGTTCCTTCATAGCTGCCCTTCCAAATCCTAATCTTCTTCTGATTGGGTTGTTGTAGGTTTTTCCGGGCTATATGGCCATGTTCTAGAGGCATTTTCTCCTGACGTTTCGCCTGCATCTATGGCAAGCATCCTCAGAGGTAGTGAGGTCTGTTGGAAGTAGGAAAAAGGGTTTTTATATCTGTGGAATGACCAGGGTGGGACAAAGGACTTTTGTCTGTTGGAGCTAGGTGTGAATGTTTCAACTGACCACCTTGATTAGCATTTAAAGGCTTGAAAGTGCCTGGGGGGAATCTTTTGTTGAGAGTGATTTGATGTGCCTGATTGTTTACTCTCTGTCGTTTTGCTGTTCTAATTTTTAGTTTTTTTAATACTGGCAGCCAGATTTTGTTCATTTTCATGGTTTCTTCCTTTCTCTTTGAAATTGTCCACATGCTTGTGGATTTCAATGGCTTCTCTGTGTAGTCTTCTTCTGATTCCTTGACTACATTCTCGATTTTGATTCGTAATTGAGCCAAGGTGCGGGGAAGCTGTAACTGTGTCAAAGTCTTCATCACCTACTATAAAACTATGCAAATGACCTGTGGGGAGAAAGCATGGTGTAGCTGTATGAGTGTTGAACTAGGATACTAGAAGGCCAGGGTTTACATACTCAATCAGCCATGGAAATGCATTTGTGCTCTTTTCTGAACAAATCTTGCTAAGAAAACCCTGTGATACATTTGTCTTAGGGATGTCATAAGTTGAAAACAACTTGAAGGCACATAACAACAAACCATCTGTGGTCATTCTTTCAGCAGACTCCTACAAGTGTGTAGCAGCTGTACATTTTGAGCCATCCCTGTGTGTTATACTTAATGGCTGATATTTATTATACAGTGGCTCCGGTCTTTCTCAAGGATCGTTCTCGGAAGGTGTGGGTAAGGGACACCTGCTTGATCCCACGGCCATTGTACTGTCGAGTCCCACAGGGTTCAGTATTGTCCCCTATGTTGTTTAACATCTACTTGAAGCCACTGGGGAAGATCATCTGGAGTTTCGGGGTGCAGTGTCATCTGTACGCAGATGATGTCCAGCTCTGTCACTCCTTCCCACCTGCTACTAAGGAGGCTGTTCAAGTCCTAAACCGGTGTTTAGCAGCTGTAATGGACTGGATGAGAGTGAATAAATTGAAACTTAATCCAGACAAGACAGAGGTACTCCTGATCAGTCACAAGGCTGAACAGGGTATAGGGTTACAGCATGTGCTTGATGGGGGTACACTTCCCCTGAAGCACAGGTTCGCACCTTGGAAGTGATTCTGGATTCATTGCTGAGCCTGGAACCACAGATTTTGGTGGTGGCGGGGAGAGCTTTTGCACAGTTAAAACTTGCGCGCCAGCTGCTCCCGTGCCTTGGGAAGTCTGACTTGGCCACGGTGGTCCACACTCTTGTTACATCCCAAATAGACTACTGCAACACACTCTACATGGGGTTGTCTCTGAAGACTGCCCAGAAGCTTCAACTAGTCCAACGCTCAGCAGCCAGGTTGCTCACCAGGGCTGGGTACAGAGAGCACACAATGCCTTTGTTACGCCAGCTCCACTGTCTGCCTATCAGCTTCTGAGCACAATTCAAAGTGCTGGTTTTGGCCTATAAACCCCTCAATCATTCTGGCCCAGTTTACTTGTCTGAACGTATCTGCTGCTACATTCCACCTAGGGCCCTAAGATCATCCAGGGAGACCCTGTTCGTTGTTCCCCCATTGTTGCAATCACGTCTGGTGGGGACAAGGGACAGGGCCTTTTCTGTGGTGACCCCCCGGCTATGGAACTCCCTCCCAAGTGTAAATAGATCCGCTGCATCCCTCTTGACCTTCCGGAAACAAGTAAAATCCTGGCTATGGGATCAGGCTTTTTCAGATTAGGCTGACTTGCTGACGTGACAACATATATAGCACTGATTATCCCTTGGATGATGATTTAAACCAGTGATTGCTGACTGCTTGATTGTTTTTATACTATTTCGTATTATTTTATACTGTTTTATATTGTTTTATACTGTTATTATTATACTGCTGTTAAATTGTATATTTATGTTTTTGATGAGGGCGCCATGGGGTGCCGATTTGTTAGCCGTCCTGAGTCCCTCTGCAGAGGTTGAGATAGGACAGGATATAAAAGCCTGAAATAAATACATAAATAATATTAGACTTTGTATCAATATAAAATGAGACATTTATGTTTATTTGACCCACTTCTTTTACACCTGT